ACCACCTCATGCCTCCACCCCACCCCCCAGCCTGTCAAAGCCAGGGAAAAGCCCCACATGTTCTGGCAGCTGGATGGCCGGCAGGTCTCTTGGACATGGGGCCACTCCCCAGCCCGCCTCAGAGCAGCGCCGGTCCATTTCTGTCCAGCACATGCGGCAGCTCCTGCAAAGACAGCTGCCCACGACAGGCCAAGGCCGAGACAGGAAGGACCTGGCCCTGGGGGAGCCGATCCCTGGTCCCTCTGCCCTGCCTACCTGCTCCAAATCATCCTCTTCTGTGAGGCGCCGGGAGTCTCCATTGCCATGGATGGGTATCTCCATGGTGGCTGCCTTGCTCATCAGCCCGTCTGTCATGCTCAGGATCTGCAGGAGAGGGAGAGAGTAATGGAGGCTGCTCTGCAGCCAGGACTGGCCTGGGCCTCATCACTCCCAAGGTCATGCCCTGACTATACCTCTTAGACTATTGAGAGGAAACTGAGAGAGGAGGCAAGAGGTTGCAGGCAGGATGCTGCTCCTTCCCTTACCAGACAGATCTCTCTCTCCCTCTCTCACTCTCTCTCTCTTGCATCCCAAGGAGTCCCCACAGAGGCTCCTACTCTGTGGCAAAGCCATGCCACAAAGAAGCTCACTGGGGCTGCCAGAGAAGGCAGACAGGAGAAGGCGAGCCCTAGAGGGAAGCCCCTCTTGTCTGCGCTGCAGAAGAATCACAAAACCAGACAGCTGCAGAGCTGCAAGGGCAGGAAGCTGCTGCGCTTCCGCTCACCGGGCACAAACTTAGGGCAAGGATTCACTTGTGACACCCATGGGGAAAAAAACCGATTGTTTCTTGTTCCAGAAAATCCACTCAACAGAAAGAAGAATGGACTCTACTCCTGAACAGAGAAGCCCCTCTGACGGGCTTCCACACGTGCAAGTGAGCGGAAGGCCACTCCAGAGCGTCCACAGGCCACTGGAGAGGAAGGCGAGCCACCAACTATCTCGACAAAGTACACAGCGGGGAAAGGAGCTGAGGGCAGCCACCCACAAGGGGTCACCTGCCACTTTGACGCGCAACCTCTCTGCATTCTGCGCAAGGTCCTCCTGCTCTGGCAAGAACCCTGAGCCATGCCACTCATTATTTCTAGAAAGGGTTGCGCTCCAGCGCTCCGACAGCTCCGGCTCATCGTCTGGAAGTGTTCCTTGACTCTGCACTGCCAGTACATTCTTAGGTGGCAGAAATGATGAGGGGTGCCTTTGCACAGGTCTGCTGAGTGTGTCAGCTATAACTTGTTCTGAGCTGACCTAACTGAGCAACAGCTATCCGTGCCTTTATTTACACATCACTCCTTGATTACTGCAATATGCTTTACAAAGGGCTTCCCTTGAAGAGAGTCTGGACTCTTCAATTGGCATCACACATGATAGCTATCCTGCTAACTGATGCACAGTATCGTAATCATCTAAGCCGCCTAGAGTGGTCACAATTGACTAGATAGGCGGGGTATAAATGAAATAAATAAATAAATAAATATAATCCCGATAAGGGGAGAAAAACAATTGCTGTGGGTGCATGGAGGAGGAGGCCTGCGCGGAGGGGGACAGAGTCCCCCGCGTACACCTTAGAGGGAACCCTGATGGACAGGCAGGGTACAAATGTAATAAATAAATGTATCCTTCCACCCGGATGATGAAGACGATACCCATTCTTTGAGTCTCTCAATATCACATCTCGTTTCCAGCCTAAACATAAGCAGCTCCATAAGCTTCATAAAGGTCTGATTTTCAGAGCCTTCACCGTTCTGGTCACCCCTCCTTGAGAGGCTTTTTAGCTTCTAGAAATCCTTTTAAAACTGTGATGCCCAGAAGAGGGTGTAGGATCAAATCAGGACAGAGTGCTGCTATTACCTCCTTTGATCTGGACACTACACTTCACGGGTGGGCTTAGGGACACACAGTCCTCATGCCTGCACCTGAAGTACAGGAGGGGAGTGCAGTGGCTGAGATAATAGCGTTGGTGGACCAAACACAGCAACCAAGGGCACCGGAAATCCTGAAACATGTAGGCCAGCAAGCAGAACACTTCGGGTCCTGCTGTGATCCGGCCAGATGAAAAGGCCACCGATTTCTCTGCCCTTCCCTGCAATGGCAGAAGTCGGGCAGCATCCCAATGCCACTCCAACCTGGAGTTGGCCAGAAACCCGCTAGCTACCCTTGCCGCCACAGACACAGACACAGACACAGACACACACACACACGTGTCTCCAGGAAGATGAAATACTTCTGCCTGACCAGGAGGCTCCACCTGGCAACCAGTTCAAGGAAGAGGAGGAGGAGTTGGGTCTGAGAGGCAGAGAAGAAGAGGTAGCCCCACTGCCGTCACCCCCACCCCTGGTGCCAGGCCATCCCAGGGGAAACCTCCCCTGCCCACCCCCACCCCGCACTGAGGGTTAGGGCTATCCCTGCCTAAAGCCCCCCTTGACAGATGGCCGTCACCACCGCCTCCTCCTCCACGTTGGGTCCAAACACCTCCAAGGCCAGGAGGTCCGTCCTCCGAGGAGGAGGAGGAGGAGGAGGAGG